GTCCTTAGTGTGTTTGTTGACATTAGAAATTGATGTCCCAGTGTATAAATAATCGTTAATACTTAAAAAGTCAATAGTGGTTGTCATTTTGCCTTGAGCTCTTGGTTTTTGTCATTAACAATATAAATACAATACGACTTAGCAGCTGCTGTTATTGTGGCAAGAAGGGAAACATGGCGCAGAAGGGCAATTTGGAATCGAGTGAAAGAATTTCAGGCTTTGACTAGAATCTCCATCTCAAGTCCCATTATATCTATTGTTGTAGGAAGCGAAGAAAAAGCCCTCCAAGCTAGCCGGTTTTTACTATCCCATTTTCCTTTTAATATATATACATACATATATATATATATGTATATAGTCACTGCTGCATGGCTACTAATTGCATGAATCCTTGTGGAACAGACAATTGCTAAAATCTGGTTTCCATGTGACTGCAATCAGACCCCCCACTGTGCCTTCCAACTCATGCAGGTATGTTTCCCACCATTATCCTTGTGCACTTTATTGTGTCTCAGGCACTGTCGCATAAGGTACCACCATCACATAAGGTACCACCATCACGCCCAGTACTTGGTCACCTCATCCAAATCTTGGTTCATAATTATTATCATTTTTAATGAAAGTGATATTATATGTATTAGGTTGCGGGTAACTCTAAGTGCAGCACACACAGCAGATGATGTAAAGAAGCTTGCAACTGCGCTTTCACCTTTCATTAACTTTCAAGGTAATTGTGACCATAGCTCCACTTTATGTTCTAAGCTATAGACTCTTATTTATTATTGTTATTCTTCTATTTGGATTTTTTTTGTCTTGAAGACAAATTAGAAGTGAAATACTGTAGGTAAAGCACATTCATGGACTACAATGATGTAGCTTAATCTTGCATGTTTGACCTCTTATGCTTTATCTTAATTTCGTCACTCATTTTAAATTTGTGAATTTATAGAATATATTTAGTTAAAAGGAAACTGAAGGGAGAAGAGGGATAAACATTTTGACCAATCACATTATAGTACCATTGCTTAATTTTATAATCCGGTTGAAAAATCATTTTAAAAAAATATCAAATTAAGTAAATAAAGGTAATAATTTAAAGAACTAAACCCAATAAACCAGGTGAAGAGCTCCAAAAGCGCCACGCCACCCTGGAGGAGGGTGAAGATGATATCATGATACGAATAAAACAATAAACCCGGCAAAAGTTTATGATTAGCTCCTTGTTTTATTAAATTTGTTGCTTTTAACCTTTCATATTATACATTAAACCTTTTAGCACTTAAAAGTTTGGGAACTTTAACCCCCTAGGCCGATGGGAGTGAAATTAAAAAATGACAGTTCAGTCCCCTAAGTTCAAAAAGTGACCGTGTAGTCTCAACAGCTTTTGGTTTTTTAATTTATTTTAAAAACTTGAGATTACATTGTTACTTTTCTAAACTTTGGGGATCAATCTTATAATTTTTGAATTTCATTTAATGAAGAGTTAACAATTTCCTTTGATTTAGGAATTAAAAGTTTTCAAAATTTTAATTTCACACGCTAAAAACTTTAATATAAGGTAAGAGGTTAAATGATGAACTTCATAAGGTAAGGAATTAAGTATAGATTTTTACCCATCGAAAGGCTAAAACTTGAAGAGAACCATGTTATCAATGTTTTTAAATTTGAATTAGAGTTCAAATTGTTTTGACCTTTGGTTCACGGTTTAAATAATTTAATTGGTTTAATTGGTAAAACAATTAGGTTGATTAAAATACTATAAATATATTATTATATAAAAAGTTTCACATGGTCCTAATTAGTTGCAATGGTGGGTAAATGATTTATTATAAAGAAGATCATAGGTTCGAATTCCTTTGGGAACATACATTTTAATATAATGGTGCTTTTAAAAATTAAAATAAATATATTGTAAAGTATAAAGTTGCAAATAAAAGGTTGTGCACCAAATGAAAGAATATTTATTGCATAACTTGAAGAATGGGTGTTTAATTCTCAAGGTTGTTATCAATAATTTGATTAAAATTTTTAAGGTTTCTATGAGCTAAATGAAATTCCAAGTACCCAATATCACAAGGATTGCATTATTCTCCTGAGGTTGACCAGTTTGAGAATTTTCAATGGTTTTAAATGGTTTAACCGTTTAAATGGTTTTAAGAGTATAGTTGAACCATTTTCAAATGCTTTTAAGAGTATACTCGAAACGTTTATATTATCGAGTATTGGTTGAATTGGTCCGATTGATTGATTCAATCTGGTTTTCAAAACTATGCTTGCTATCTATGTTCTTTTGTTACCAGGGAGTCTAGATTGGAGAAAACGTCAATTCCTTAGGTTTTCTCAAAATAAATAAATAAATAAAATGATTT